AGTACTTTTTTTTTATAAACATTTCAACATTTTGACGACACAACACAAAAATGGTGTCTAGGCTAGGTGTAGTAATCAAACCAAAACAGCTAAAAATCAAGTTAAAACTTCAAGAGATAATTTAAAACTACAAATTAATACTTGATAAATTAATAATCACTATGGAAGTTGTAATTAATAATCACTATAAATTAATAATTTTTGCCGGTCCTAAGACGGGCCAGTGTAAAAATTGACAAAATTTGATAAGATAATAAGATAATACTTTTTTGAAAGTTCTATGTAAAAATATGGTCTCAATAATAATATAAATTAATAATTATATATTTAGATATATATTAATAATATAATATAGTAAACTATGATAATATTGTTGTTTCAAGTTTGTAAAATTTGTTTGATTTATCTTCTAAGTTCATTATTATGACATTTTTTAAAATAAATTTTATATTGTTGAAAATATTGATTTTGTTTTTTATGAATATTAAAATTCAAGCTAAAACATCTCTATTAATTAATCAAACATTAATTTATCGATAAATTAATAATCAATAATTTATCAATTAATTAATAACTCAATAAATCTATTACTCATAAAAGTTGATGCTAAATGCCTCTAAAGGTGCCCACATAGGATTAAAAGATCTAATTCTATTGGTACACATAATCATCATATATAGTTAATTATATATTATATATTAAAATTAATTAATTTTTTTTTCTAAAAAGGAAAATTTTAAAATTTTAATTAATTTTGTTTTTGTTGTTATGAGGAAAATTTCTAAATTTTAAGTTACTTATTAATAAGAAAGACTTTAAGAAGTTGATCATAGTTTTCTATTATCAATAAAAAATAAATTAACATATAAATATATTATTAAAGAAAATTCATATATATATTTAACAAAATAATTAAAACATGTATATAAGACCATAATTTAACTATTTCAAATTTTTAATTATGACAAACAATGAAAATCTAAACTGATAATTTAAAATATATTAGTTGTGGTCTGTGTTGATGTGTTATGCGAATGAGAGTGTTCGCATAGGACATGAAAATTCAATCTGATTGGTCTATATAAATAGAAAATTATCGTAGTATAATTGAAAAATTAAAATAAATACTTTAACTAATAAAACAGATAAAAATGTAAAAAATCCAAATCTATAACGTTTGGCAAAATAAAATGGAAATCCAGTGTGACAAAACTAAACTAACATATATAAATCAATAAATAAAAAGTTAAATTAAAAAAAGAAAAAAAATTAACAGATATATTTTAAATGAGTAATTTATTTAACAAAAGTACTAAGGTTAAATTTTGCCGCTAAACATATAAAATTATTATTTAAAACTATAAATACTACGAAAATATTCATGTTAAATTAACAAAATAATAAGTCATCAAAAAATGTAAATTGAGCCTAATTATTTAGAAAATCAACACAAAAAGTTAGAAAAACCAAAAAAATAATATTTTATGTTAACTACTAAAGAAAGCAATATAAAAACTTATAACTAACAAAAAACAAAATAGAAAAATGAAAATCTATATCGAAAAAGTTAAATGAATACAGAAAAAAAGAAATTAACTTGATATCTATGTTATTTATTTAACAAGTCTATATAAACAAAATTAGTAAGAAAATAAAAAAAAACTAAAGTCATATTAAAAAATTTAACTAACAAAAAGAAGATAGATATTTACGTTAATTATTTAAGGAATCAATATTGAAAAACTAATTGATAAAAATATATAACAAAAATTAATTTTTACAAAATGTTAAATATAAAAAATTATTTAAAAAAAAATTGACTTCATATCTGACTAACGACTTTAAAAATCAATATAAAAATATTTAGCTAACAAAATAATGAAAGATGAATTTATGTCTTCAAAAATATCAATATTTTCAAAACAATTATGTGTTAAAATAAAATATATATTAATATCAAAAAGATAAATTATCAAAAGAAAAAGTCGTATAAATTAAAATTAGCTTGGTATTTAGGCTAATATTTTGAAAAATTAACATAAAAATATTAACTAAAAAGTAATGATGGTATAAACTTTTTAGAGAAGTCCACATAAAATTTAAAATAACGAGTTATATCATGTCAAAACAACAATATAATTAAAATAAAGTTTAATATAAAAAATAAATCAAAAAAATATTTATAATATATTAAATTCATATATATGCAACCTAATTGGAAAACTGATAACAAAATAGACTAATTAATAAATATATATGTTTTAACAATATCAAACATGCAAAAAATTATATAAATAAAATATAATATAAATTTACCATAATAATATGTAAAATAACAAAAAAAATCTTAAAAAATTAGTTTGAAATTTAGTTCCAGAAAATTCATGATTTCTAAAATATTGGTATTGACTTTGAATAACCATATAAAGTTATAGTAGGTTATATGAGTTTCTAAAACATATTATTTAAATTTACAAAGACTAATATTTTGTTTCGTCTGGTTTAAAAAGTAATAAAAAAATATTATATAAGTAACTTTAATTCAAAATATAACAAGTAATAAAGACCAATTTTTGTACATAATTACTACTTATAACTTAGCCAACATGTGCACCACATGAGTGACACCTTCTAAATTTTTATTTAAATAATAATGTATGTCAAAATTATGAATCAAATTTAAATTGGAATATATCTAGATAAATTATTCAAATCAAAACATGAATAAAGCACACAAAAGATAAAAAATAGTAAAAAATAATGTGAAGACTCCACACCATCTTACATGTTTAAAAATAAAAATTATCAAATAGTTAACTGTAAATAAAACAAATCTTATAAACTGAATAAAGATTGACCTAAAATTCGTTGAAGATTTGGTGGATGAGTAAGAAGCAGCTTTACACAATTATTATAGCATCCTAACAAAAGGAAATCCGATTCAACATGAATAATATATTATATATTAATAGTTACACAATATCAGTGAGACATTCAATCAAAAACTAAATATTTGAACACATAAATCATAAAAAAATAACTATAGAAATTCTAAGGACACAAAACAAAACACCAAAAATTTTGTATGAAAATTATTTTCTAAATCAAATGTATGCACACCAAAATTGGATAATTTGTTAGGTGTCAATACTATGATTTTATTTAATAAGATTTATAATTTTATAAACAAAAATAGGAAAAACTACATATTATAGTTTTGATAATTTAAAAGATATTAACAAAAAAAAAGAATCAAACCAAATTATTAATACGCGCGAGTTACAAGCTTAGTCATATATATAATTAGCAAGTTATCTCTCCATCTAAGGTGTCCACATGAGCAAATAAATTTATTTTAAAATGGGCTTTTAAATATTTTGGTTTTTGTTTTTAAAGTTTGGGTGTTTATTTTTGGGCTTTTAATATGATTAATTTGAAATTAAAAACAAATACTTATTTTACAAATCATAAAAATTACAAATTCTTAATTTGTAAAAATGAGTTTGGAAGACAACCAAATATAAAAGATTACAGAAAATAATTACCAAACTTTATAAAGAAAACTCTTAGAAAGATTATCTAAAAAGCTAAAGTAGCTGTCAAAAAAATAATATATAAAGCTAAAATAAATTCATCATATAAAACAAATACTTATTTTACAAATCATAAAAATTACAAATTCTTAATTTGTAAAAATGAGTTTGGAAGGCAACCAAATATAAAAGATTACAGAAAATAATTACCAAACTTTATAAAGAAAACTCTTAGAAAGATTATATAAAAAGCTAAAGTAGCTGTCAAAAAAATAATATATAAAGCTAAAATAATTTCATCATATAAAACAAATACTTATTTTATAAATTATAAAAACTACAAATTCTCTTTGAAATAAAAAAAAATAAATATTATTTCGAATATAAACAAACAAAATTTGAAGAAAAAAATACTGATAAAATGGTAAAAGGCTAGGTACGAGACTGATAAGATAGTAAAAAGCTTTTCTTTTACTTATTTCCCAGCATAAACACAATACAACATGTAAAATCGTTTCTCCTATAACCTTCTTCTAGGTTGGTTTACAATCTTGAAGCTAACTTAACTAAACTCAACCGGTTGCCTCCGGGCAAATTTCTTCCAGTAGCGTGGCTATGATGAACTATGTTCATTAGGTTTCAGATAGGGTAAACATTCCGGTGTCATCTTAATCCATCTTTATAACCCTATTAGAGTTAGATGATAAGCTGTTAAAAAACATCACACTTTTTATTTTTGTTTTGTTTGTTATATGATCATCAGATCTCACTTGCAGCAGATTTCATGTACGATACAATGTCGAGAAATGCTATAGCTAGTACCATATTAGTTAGCATGGTAATCGAGTTGTTATCCATTCTAACAATATTAAATAAATTTAGAAACAAAATAGTCATAATTTATGTATCAATCTATTTTTTAATTATTAGCTCCACTTTTCTAATTATCAGATTATTTTAGTCCTTTTACTAAATTTTCCCATGTATATCGCATAACTCATCATAATATCCAACTCATAGTATAACTAATACGGTTGAGGTAAAGTCATTGGATTAATATCTTTGAGTTAAGTTATTTTATTAAAAAATTTGCATCATATCAATCACAATTACCAATAGAGTTAATTTCTGGTTAGTAATTAAGTTGCGATAGACTATATTTCAACAGCTATTTTTGATATTATTATACCTTTGATATGAGATTGTGATAATGTAAAATTGCAGCATTGAAATGAGTAGTTTAATAAAAAAAAAAGGCTTAGCTTAGCCATAAAGCGTGGCGAAAGCCCATAAAAGACCCACGTGAAGGCCCAATAAACATTCCTATAAACCACTGTGCAGAAATATCTAAGATAGAAGAAAACTCCGTCCCTAAAACAAAGGAAATCGAAAACACAAGAGTTGTGGCTGTAGTAGAAATAATCGGGAAGAGAGATTCGATTGGCATCGACGGCGGCGGTGGAAGTTATGGCGAACATAGAATCTGAAGCAGTTGATTTTGAGCCGGAGGAGGATGACCTTATGGACGAAGATGCTGGAGCAGTTGACGCCGCCGATGTTTCCCCACGCGCTGGGCATCCGAGGCTTAAGTCGGCTATCGCCGGAGCAAATGGCGAATCGGCGAATAGGAAGACCAAAGGCCGTGGGTTTCAGGAGGAGAGAGATTCCGATCGCCAGCGCCGCCTTTCCTCCCGCGATTTCGATTCACTCGGTTCCGATGGCGGCCTTGGCCCACAAAGATGTAATTTCTCTCAATCTCTCTCCCGCTTCAGATCTTTCTCTTTGTTTGAGTTGCAAGTTTGTAATGTGAGCTTGCTTGATTCATTGCGTCCCTGATTGATTTGTGTTAGTTGTTTCTAGGGTTTCTCTAAGAATTCAGTTTGACCTAGATTTTGTTTTCTATTATCTCTTGCCCCTTTTTGCTCCACCTACTAAGTACTTGAACTGTAATGATTGTAGCTAAGCTGAACCCTAGTTTTGTGAGGAGTGACCATAGTGTATTCGAGCAAGAAAAAATTATAAATTGTTTGTAGAGGGAGATAGAGATACAAACTCTTATGCCTTCCTTAATGGTTGAAAAGACTTAGAACTGTCGTGGATGATTTGTTGTTTGTGTTTATGTGTAGCCATTGAGGGATGGATTATTTTGGTCACCGGAGTTCATGAGGAGGCACAGGAAGATGATATATCCAATGCTTTTGGTGAGTTTGGGGAGATAAAGAGTCTTCATCTCAATCTCGATCGCCGTACTGGTTTTGTCAAGGTAATGGAGTTTATCCTGTTCTCCTATAGCGTCTCTTGAAGTGTTCAATAGCCTTTTGGTTTGCTATAATCAAGCTAAATATTTTGATATGTTATATATATAGTCCTCTTAGACGTACTTGTGTAGTTGTATGTGTTAATTGATTTATCTTGCTGAGTATCTGAAATGAAGAGTCAAAATGCTTAAGCTGTACTTGAGAATGGGAGTGTATACAAAAGGATCTCTTCAGTTTTTGGTGAGTATTTAATTGGAAGTTGTATTAACGTTGCCCACTTCGTTCTGTTTTCTTGTTTAGGGCTATGCTTTGATTGAATATGAGAAGAGTGAAGAAGCACAGAGTGCTATCACAGCAATGAATGGTGCTGATATTCTTACTCGGAATGTTAACGTTGACTGGGCCTTCAGCAATGGACCAAGTGTTGGACCTCACAGGAGAAGGAATTTGAGGTTTGTTTCCTAATAGCTCTTCTGTATCCCCTCCCTTAACCGCAAGTACTTCGAGTTGTTTGCTATTTCGTGGAGATGATGTCTGAGTGTCGATAAGTATCCAAGGTTACTAATTAAGCTAAGCACATATGCGAGTTAGAGTAGTCTTTATAGAGTTAAGGTTGTGTCATGTTATGTGTATGTCTAATCTTTCAATCGTTGACAAAGTTTGTGACTTCTTTAAGTCATTTTACCCTGTTGTTGGCATTACATTCATATCATCCTTTTTGATCATTGGGTTCTTCTGGTTTTTTGTTTGCAGGTCTGGGAGGTCACAACGTTCACGAAGCCCGAGAAGACGTTACTGATTGTATGATTTGGTTCGAGAGTTGTCTCACTTCTCTCAGAATTTGGGATTTACTCTCTATCTGTAAGATCCGGATATAAGTCGCGAGTGTGAGACTTTTCTTTGTTTTTTGAGTTATTATGTAGGTTTTGGCTGTTTTTACGTTGTTTAATCTTTATGCCTTTGCATAGGATTGTCTCGTTTTATTAACACCATGATGAGATCTGTTTTAATGCTTCTGGTTTGGGAGAGAGACAAAATCGTTGGTTGAGGAAGTTGCTTTAATTTCATTTATCTCTACTGCTTCCTGTTTCATATTTGGGTAAAAGAAAAATGTCAACCAAAGATATATTTTGAAAACTAGTACTCTCTCCGTTTTTGTTTATAAGACCACTCAAAAATTCATGCAAAACTGCCACTCATTTCAGCCTGTACAATGAAGTGCATAATATTTTATGTCCGTATGAAGTAGGTATTTCTGCAAGGCACAAACGATGAATTTGCTCTTCTCTAGTTCAAACTTGAAGGGATCTCTAGCTTTTATCCCGCTTACTTGGTAGAAACTTCTCTAAATTTCGTGATAATAGTTTTGTTGTCTCAAATCTAAATTTCACTCTCATTACATCATTTTCAGACTTTCGAGTTCACAAACCCCTTTGGAAGATACTGCAACATCAGATAAAGATTGGTTTAATTTCTAAAGTTTATAACAAAAAAATTCGACTAGGAAAGATCAAATTTGCTATGAGTTGTGGATGTTTTTCTTTGAAAACAATATCAATTATCTATAAATCCGTCTAGAATCATATAACGATTTATGGATCATCACCTATGAGATTTGCATAGAAACTAAACTTAAGAGGGGCTCAAATATAACATTTTCTTGGCTCTCGAGAAACTAAAATTCCCAAGATGGTCTGGCAACTTTGTGTTGCAAATTTAGAAATACGTTGTTGTAAATTATTCAAAAATATGGTTAAACGTACACACACATACATATATATATATATATAGTTTTACTGCATATAAATAAAAGTAAATGTAGTGATTTTGTTAAGCTTTTAAATGCTACTAAATGTTAAATTTGATATTTTATGACATCAACACCAATAATATCTTCTGACAGGTCAAATATTGGTGGTCTTGCGTTCTTCTTGTTTCTCTTACAGCTAGGATCATTATCTCTTAAATCTCAAAACATCAAACTTTTGAAAAAAAAAACTGAAGTTTGCCAAATTAACATCCCTATTCCCTATGGAATTTATAAACTCAACTTCTTGTTGAAGTGATAGCAAAGCAAACAGAGTGAAGACAAGTGAGCTGGCAGCTGCTGAAGATATTATTAGCTGAGCTGGCATGCTCTTATTCGTTGTTGTTTTTACTTATAAGAGCATAGCAAAACAATGAATCTTTTATCGATGAAATTGTAAAGTGAGGAGAGAGACCAGAGGGCCTCGAGACGATTCGCGGTTGAGAGATTGTCATCGGAGTTCATAGTTCATCAGATTTCTCCGTGTTGGAGAAGATCTGGTAACTCTTTTTTCTCATTCTACTTTTGTAATCGTCTCATTCAATAATACAGATCCGTATCTCATTATCGTTAAGTGTGATTTCATACATCGGAGGTTACGACCTTAACAACTGCTGCGTTGTGATCCAAATCGGTCATTGCTATGGTGTCGCATGAGGAGTCTGAGAAAGAACGTTTCCAAGACTGAAACAATTTCAAAAAGCTTTAAAGAATATCAACTTTTCAAATGCGAGAGAATCTATGAAGACAATATACTTGTCATCGATTTTGTATTTGAAAAAGGTTTTTTTGTTAATTGAGATATGTGTAAAAGATGGGCAAAGTCAAAAAGCAAAATCATGGAAATCGATCATAAAAGAGTTTGTTTAATAAAAATTATATTGAAGATTTGAAGACAAATCTTTTTTGATCGACGAGAAATTATGCATTAGCATCTAACGTTATATCTAAAACCAAAGATAAGCAATTTCAATAAATTTATGTTGTAACAGATCTCTTTGTTTAAAACTTTAAAGTACTACTTTTTACTTTTTACACATTTCAACATTTAATGTGAAATATTCATAATTTATAGTGATTAGTTCTTTATTTTGGTCAGATTGGACCAAATTAATTATTATTTAAATTTACTGTTTTTCGACGTTAAATAGCAATAAAATAACATCAGAATTGTAGTTTTGAAAATCTCCCTAAACCAAAGACCTTGTTGCTAAAGAAATTGGGAGTACAATTTTGAAAAGTTATACAGATGAATATGATCCATCAAATGATTCTACTAAAATTTTGTATAGGCTGCGCTATTAATTAACGAAATTACTGAAGTTAAGGAACTTGTTTCAACACAGTTGAATACTAATTATGTTAACAGAAGTCATCAAAGGTTGATGAACATAGTTGTACTTGCTCGCTATTGGCAGGACTCATGATATCTTGTACCAATTAGTCATCTATATTTTGTGCGTCAAGCCAATGCACATTATCGTTACTATATATCTATTTTAATCGGTAAACCATACAATATAGCTGAATTTACCAAGGAAAAAAATAACATATAACTGAATTCTCTTTTGTACTTGCTTTCAGTTTTAATTGTAAACCGTTGGAACAGTAATGTAAGTTCTGCTTTAAATTCATTCGAACGAAAGTAAAATATTTTACTTTTTCTTACTATTTTTTTTGTCTGTCTTATTGTAAAATAGGATTTGTGCCAAAGGCTTTAGATTCAGTTGAATTTAGAATCTGGGGTTCTATCTCTTTTCTGGAAATCTTTATTTCGCTTTTTGTATTAAAAACTCCAAACGTACTCTATATACCTACAAAAACTTTTGACATGTAGCTGTTTTGGTTAGTACAAGTTTTATCATCTGGAGAAACCAAGAAAAAAATTCACTGTTATACATAATTAGGAAGTAGTAATAGATCTATATTTTAAGTTTGTGTTATATACTAAAAAGATCTAGATAGATTACACACCAATGTAAAAGATAACCATAAATCATGAAAATAATAAATGGACAGACCAAAAAAAAAACATTGAAGCATACATAATACAAATAACCATATCGGTGCCAACTACCACACATTTAATTGCTTTCCCTTTTCATTTAACACCTGTGAAGACTTGTTGTGAACTTGTGAGCTTTTCTTCTTCTTTTTTTATTTTATCAAATTATCGTTATCATAATTATCTTAATTTAACCTTTAAGACTTCAGCTTAAATGATCGCAATCAGATATATAAGAATCAGTCTAATACGAAAATAACAATAAAAAGTGGGGTAACCTAAAAGTATACTATAATGTTATTTTTTATGTGAGAACAAACGATTTTTTTAAGTTTAAAAATCTTTTGAAGTGACAATGACACTTTGTAAGAAAAGTTATCAGAGTTTTATAGGTTTCAGGAAATGTTTATTTTTATTTTTTGGTATTCCATTATTTTACCAAACTATTATTATCAATCCGTTGTATAATTAATAACCATCCAAATATGATTTAATTCCTCAGTTGCCGTGGCTATTTGTGTTTCAGATGAAACGGAAACATCTCATTGAAAACAATCCCATTGTTAGATTTCATTTCACAAAGAAATATTATGATCTCAGTGTCGGAATTACTTGTTAGGCAACATTTATTGTCAAGTACCGACATACAACAAGTAGTTTTATACTTATATATATATATATATATTCATACGTATATGTCAATAAGTGGGATGGTTTTTTTTGCAACACATGGACGATTTGTATATATTAGACCTCTCCTTCACAAAACTCTCATTCTCACATTTAATGAGTAGAAAGAAAACTATATCATATACGTGTATAAATATATGGTTATCATATTAAAGCCACCCATTAAATGTGATTAGTTGTTTGTTGATTGTTGATATCACCTAAGAACATCTTAGACCTACAAAATTAATCGCCATCTTTATAATTCATTCTCCAACCAATAAAACAAAAAAAAAACTTAGAAGAAGAACAAAAAAAGTCTGTCTTTCTCTCTCTCTCTCTCTCTAAGCTGCTCTTCGAGATCAAACACAAATGGAATTAGAGAGTAGGAGCAATGGTCGGCCGTCTCGTCCTCCTCCGCCACCGCCACCACCACCACCGGAGATTGGTCGTGGAGCGTACTTGGCGTGGGAAGATTTGACGGTGGTTATACCAAACTTTCGTGGTGGTCCGACTCGAAGGTTGCTCGATGGACTAAACGGGTATGCTGAACCGGGTCGAATCATGGCCATTATGGGTCCTTCCGGATCCGGCAAGTCCACGCTTCTTGATTCTCTCGCAGGTTCGTTTTTCCTTCTTTTTTTTGGTAATTAGTGAGTGAAAATTTTTTACCAAAAAAAATTAGTGAGTGAAAATTATTTGATTAGGAATAGATAAACATTATTACCAAATTTTTTTCTTTCTCAATTTTACTATTATATGACTGATTTTTGTTTTGTTTTGTAAATTAGAAATATTTCACTTCTGTATTTGTTCTAGTATGATATATTTTCTTTATAACATCGTTTTAGCTAATTCTTATTTTTAAGTCACTCACAAAATTAACATAAAGATAACAGTTCTTGTTTTAACTTTTAAGTCGCTCGTTATTCTTGGTCTTCAGTCACACTCATAATTCAATGGCCTAATTGGTTCTTATATTCGTATATAAATCTTATATTACTTCGAAATTTAGTTCAATTGTTACGAATGATCCCATATTTACAGGTAGACTCGCAAGAAACGTGATTATGACCGGTAATCTTCTACTAAACGGAAAGAAGGCAAGACTAGACTACGGCCTAGTCGTAAGTATAAATGATCTAATGATCAAAATTAATATCCAATTTTTAATTTTAAGTTTTGTTGTCTTTTAAATAATTTACTTCAAATTATGAATAGGCTTATGTAACACAAGAGGACATTTTGATGGGAACACTAACGGTGAGGGAGACAATAACATACTCAGCTCATCTAAGGCTTTCAAGTGATTTGACCAAAGAAGAAGTCAACGACATCGTTGAAGCCACAATCATGGAGCTTGGTCTTCAGGATTGTGCAGACAGGATCATAGGTAACTGGCACTCTAGAGGAGTGAGTGGCGGCGAGAGGAAACGCCTCAGCGTTGCGTTAGAGATCTTAACGCGACCGCAGATTCTGTTTCTCGACGAACCCACAAGCGGTTTAGACAGTGCTTCTGCTTTCTTTGTGATCCAAGCGCTTAGAAACATCGCTAGAGATGGCGGTAGAACCGTTGTTTCATCGATTCATCAGCCTAGTAGCGAAGTTTTCGCTCTCTTTGATGACCTTTTCTTGCTCTCTGGTGGTGAGACTGTTTACTTCGGTGAAACCAAGTTTGCTGTTGAGGTAATAAAAAAAAAAGGAGATCTTTCTTGCGTTTCAAGAAACCGCGGTTTCTGCAGTTGTTTGATCTCTAAACGCTAACTTTCTGTTGATGCAGTTCTTTGCTGAAGCGGGTTTTCCTTGCCCGAAGAAACGGAATCCTTCTGATCATTTCCTAAGATGTATAAACTCTGATTTCGATACCGTTACAGCTACACTCAAAGGATCTCAGAGGATGCGGGTGAGTGATTTTAAATGTTCACACTTTGTGGAGAACACTGCGAAAAATGTCGAGTCTTTTTGAATCAAGACTTTATCTTTATTGCAGGAGACACCAGCTACATCAGATCCTTTGATGAATCTAGCTACATCTGAGATCAAATCTAGGCTTGTTGAGAATTACCGTCGTTCTACCTACGCGAAATCCGCAAAATCTAGGATCCGTGAATTAGCTAACATTGTAAGAAAACTCTTTCTCAGTTCCATTCATTCAAGAATCAAGAAGAAAAAGTGTGTATTGAAGATTCCTCTGTTCTGTGCTCTGTTTTTTTCTTAAAACAGGAAGGACATCATGAGATGGAAGTGAGAAAAGGAAGCGAAGCGAGCTGGTTTAAACAGCTAAGGACTTTGACAAAGAGATCATTTGTGAACATGAGCCGTGATATTGGATACTACTGGTCAAGAATTGTGATATACATTGTGGTATCGATCTGCGTCGGGACGATCTTCTACGATGTGGGACACAGCTACACGTCGATCTTGGCTCGGGTTTCTTGCGGTGGATTCATCACCGGTTTCATGACTTTCATGTCCATTGGAGGGTTTCCTTCTTTCATTGAAGAGATGAAAGTGTTCTACAAGGAGAGACTGAGTGGTTACTACGGCGTTTCGGTTTACATCATATCAAATTACGTCTCTTCTTTCCCGTTCTTGGTGGCGATATCCGCCATCACGGGGAGCATTACTTACAACATGGTGAAGTTCCGTCCAGGGTTCTCCCATTGGGCGTTTTTTTGTCTCAACATATTCTTCTCTGTCTCAGTCATTGAGAGTCTCATGATGGTTGTGGCTTCTCTTGTTCCAAATTTCTTGATGGGTCTCATCACAGGAGCTGGCATCATTGTGAGCAAACACATTACCTCTGTTTCAAGATCCTCTGTTTTTAGGATCCTCTGTTTTTGTTTGTTTCCGCTTCAAAAGCCAATAAGCTTATAAATGGAGTTTGAAAGTTTGCTCTTGATTCTGTTTCTATGACAGGGAATCATCATGATGACTTCTGGATTCTTCCGTCTGCTTCCGGATCTTCCAAAGATTTTCTGGCGCTACCCGATTTCCTTCATGAGTTATGGTTCTTGGGCAATTCAGGTACTCTCTAAAGTGTTAGTGTTAGGCTTTACAACAATTTGAAGGGTTGAACATCTCTGCTTCTTGTCATTAGTTTTAATACGGAAACTCATTTACCTTTTGTATCAACCCATACGTTCGAATTTGGTTCAAGATGGATATGAAACTTAATAAGTATATAAATCTCATGGACCACTCCACCAAATTCACATATTTTCTCCATTTGTATGGATGCAGGGAGCATACAAGAATGATTTTCTTGGTCTAGAGTTTGATCCAATGTTTGCGGGAGAACCCAAGATGACTGGAGAGGAAGTGATAAGAAAGATATTTGGAGTTACAGTGACACATTCTAAGTGGTGGGACTTAGCAGCGATCGTGTTGATCCTCGTGTGTTACCGAATTCTCTTCTTCATTGTGTTGAAGCTTAAGGAGAGAGCAGAGCCCGCATTGAAGGCCTTACAAGCAAAAAGAACGATGAAGAGTCTGAACAAGAGACCTTCTTTCAGGAAAGTCCCATCTCTATCTTCATTATCTTCAAGGAGACACCAACCTCTACGTTCACTTTCTTCCCAAGAAGGTCTTACCTCTCCAATCAATTAAAGATTATATCTATAAATGTGTATACACTATTTGTTTCTTGATTTTATTTGCACATACAATAGTTTCAACACTTATCAATATGTATTAATTAATCAGCACCCACCCGATGATTCTATGATTCAACATTTTCATTTTTTGGAGAATAAAGAAACTCTAATCTGAATTTTTTCATAATTATTTTACTTTGCTTAGATGGTATACTTCGCAAGAGTACTGTATATAGAACAAGAACAAGAACAACACAAGCTTAATATAAAAGCTTTAATTAAATGGTATACAATACATATAGTACGTACGTACAATAGCTATTAGATTTGGAGGTTGGATACATGTACATCTATCGCCATGGCCCTTTTTATTTTGCGACGAATCTAGAGAACCATTTGCCAGAATCCTTTTCTCTTCGATCCATAGGATTAGTGAAGTTGACCCAGTTCATACCAAACCGGAGAGTGTAACCATTTCCGAATTCGTAATTGTCCATCAATGACCATGCAAAATATCCTTTCACGTTGGATCCCTCGCTAGAATACATATTCATGTACATTAGCATTATTAATTCTCAAAAAAGAAGTAAATAGAATAGAACGTTCGCGAGTTATATATATAACTCACTCGATTGCGCATTTGAGACACGAAAGATGGCTGCAATGATTTTGAATTCGTCCGTTGTCGGCAAGAGCATCCGGAAGCGTTAAGTTTCCAAAATCAGCAACTCCTGAAAAACACAAGATTCGATAATAAACATACGTATCAAATGGTTAATCATACATTTGGATGCAGTGCAAAATGAAATGTACGTACCATTTTCGGTGATGTAAATAAGTGGGTTTCCGTAGTTTTTTCTGATGTGATTTAGAATCATACGGAATCCTGGAGGATAGTACACGAAGCTAGGAGCTTGAACGCCAATAGGAATTCCATTGCGATAATCTGAAACCAATTATAGAAAACCGAGATGAGCTAAAATATACATCTAAAATATATAAAAATAATTCGACAAACAAGTTTTGCATGCATACATCCAAGAGTAACTCCTGGATCGGTTATGGCACTAGGCAGTTTCGGAAGAGGTGCGTCGGTCGCATATTGTGTAACGTAATAGTTCAACCCTAGGAAATCAAGTGATCCTCTAACTAAATCCGATTGTGCAGGTGTGAATCTTGGCAGTCTATCTCCAACCATCTCTTTCATTATCTCTGGATAGTCTCCGTACACCAACGGATCCAAGAACCTAAATTCAATATATATTTTGAAAGTATGTTTTTTTATGACCAAAACTTTCTATATATAGATAGGTGATCTGAGAATTAATTTAATTGAACATATATACCATCCGACGATGAAAGCGAATGCCCGTCTCGAAGCAGCCTTGTCAAGATCGCTAGTTGCGTTTAGTGGGGTGAACCATCTTCCGATCAAAGTCGTTCCTATTTTACCACCTTGAAATTTCTGCAAAACGTTTTAGTTTATTTGTTTTTTTTTCGTTTTCGTGTGGGTATAAATGTAAAATATTTTCTGCAAAGGATTATAAACATACAACACAAAAGTATATAAAAAAAATTGATTTCGAAAGAAACTAATTTATGATTGGTTTACCTGATATTTTGCTCGGTATAAAGCTACAGTTTCTGCATGAGCTAGAAGTTGATGATGTGCAACTTTATAAGGTTCGGTTCCGGAATTTCCTCCAAATTCACAGCCGGTGCACCGTCCCGGTGGATACGATCCATCCCCATAACCTTTGGTTGAAAGAGAGAAAGGTTGGTTCAAAGTGATCCAAAATTTGACTCTGTCACCGAATCTTTGGAATAGAAGCTCCGCGTAGTTTCTGAAATCGTCCCTGTTCATACATATTAAACATGTATAGGTTTGATTATGCAATATACATATAACCAAAATCCAAAGAATTAAACCGAGTTAATTTAGAATAAATAAATAAAAATTAGTTAAGGGACTTACACTATACGTGGGCTTAAGAACCCTTTGTATTCGTCTTCCAAAGTTTGGGGAACATCCCAATGAAATATAGTCACATATGGTTCTATGCCTGTGGATCCCAAGTAAAGTAAGTGTAAATCTCTGTATCACAAATATAACAAAATGATGAAAATCGGATTATTAAATTTGGAATTTACCATTTGCTTTTAACTCGTTGATGAGATTGTTGTAGTATGCTATACCATTCTCGTCCACTTTTCCAGTTCCCTCTAATATTAGTATATGTAATTACAAAGTTCAGCCATAGTATAATATTTTACGAATTCTTTTGATGAACAAAAGGAGATGTGTTTTTGTATTTACTTGGTAAGACCCTTGACCATGCTATTGAGAATCGGTATGCTTGAACCTTCATTCTTTTTAGTAGCGCGACGTCCTCCTGTTGAGGTTATATGAAAGTTGTAAAGTTAAATTAGGTTTCAAAAATGTAATATATATGCGTTGATCATCACTAATTGATAACCTCTTCTTCTCTCACCTTATAAAGATTATACGAATCACAAGCAAGGTCTCCTGAACTGTTATCTGGAACTTTTTCTGTATGAAACAAAGCAAGATATGAGCATGACTCGTACTTAATTCTAATATTCATACATGCGATCGAGGTGCGTGTTAATAACGCATGCAGTACGTAAATGACCTGGATATCTATGTGTGTAATAGTCCCATCCATTAAGTGCTCTATGTGCTGCACCTTCAATCTGGTAGAACAAATAAAATCGATCATATATTGGACAATTTTAGAATGAGTTCTTTATTAATGACAAATATTACAGAGAGAAATCGATGTCCAAAAGTCACTATGATATATGTTATCTATACCTGGTATGCAGAAGTAGCCGCACCAAAAATGAAGTTCTTTGGGAATCCATTTCGGTTGAATGTAAGAGTATCGTTGCAGTGGAAAGGTTCTTTAGCCTTGCATTCTGGATTGCAGACCTGTTGGCTACTCGAAACGGCAAAGAGAATTACAAGGATGGCTAAAGAGTAGAGAGCTTTTGGAATTGCCATGGATGAGAGATCTATATGGTTTAGTTTTTGCTTTCCTTTATGGCTTGTGTAAGCTTAATTTGATGATGATTATATGATGAACTTGGAGGGCTTTATATAGAAGGGTTTGCGTGCATGCATGGGGCTTGCATGGAGATTGAAGTAAACTCATTTCCTTGCGTATATTTTGATTCAACTTATTTGATCCTCTCCATGTTCTCCACCTCGCTGTCTTGTTTTCTTATTTAAAAATTACGTTTAATCAAATACTGAGCTATCCCTAATAGAATAATTGTTCGACACTTCGAGTTTTATGTACGTCATCATAATTCTCACGCATATTTACGTAGAATTCGTATATAGCTTCACACGATATATACCTGTACATGCCTGCGTGAGAATATATGTTCCTTGGTTATAATTTATATGCCATTTATTATTTCAATCAAACTTAAAATTTATGTACTATTCATTTTGTAATCATTTTTAATCTTTGCCAAACTCCTTGGAGATTTAAGTTTCGTTTCCCTTCTCCTTTAGCTTACATTATAGTCAGCAGCAACCTTCCTCCCATAAGCAAAATATGATGTTTTGAATATTAAATTACAAACCCTATTTTAAGTAAACATGAGTTTTTCTTCTTATAACTCTACATGAATTTTTGATATTTTACATTATGGTCAGCAGCAACCTTACTTTCATAAGCAAAATATGACTTTCGAATATTATACTGCAAACCCTATTTTAAGGAACACTGTTACGAATTTGATATATTATTACTTTGAAAAACAATAATTTTTTTAACTTATCAATGCAAAAATTTCAATTTACACGAAGAATTACTAATAAAACAACTTATGTCATATATTAATCTGATACATTTTAGGTTTAATGAGAAGCAAAGCATTTAACATACAAACAAAAGGTTTTTTTTTTGTTTTTATTTTTATTATCACTTGTATAATTTAATATTTTATAATTTGTTAAAAAGAACAACATAATATAATAGGAAAACAAATTATTTCAAACTTGATATAAAATAAATTAAGACTGATAATGCCAATGCAAAACTTTCGAAAGAAAAACATAACACTTATTCATTTACAGTTTTCTATAGTTTCATTTCCAAAAAATAATAATTAAGCACATAATTTCAAATAATTAGTTTTTTTCTTCCATACTTCTATTTGAAATAGGTTTATTCTTTTTATTTACATTTTTTTTATTAAATGAATGTCAAATTTGTTCAATCAAAAAGCCTTTTGTATATCAAGTATTACATAATTTGAGAGTTTGTTTTGAAAAATTTAGAACACGAACAAGCTATACTCTTGTGGAAAACAGTGTGTGAGGCTTCCCGGTCCCCTAGTGGCCGTATTGAGCTTAGTCAATTCCGAACAATCTTGTCGATGATTTTTACAAGCTGCACAAGTGGTTTACTAGCTTCTCCATGTCTTCTTCTGTTTCTCTCTCGCCAAGACCATAAACTATTGCTTGGAACACATATCTTAGGGCCAAAGAATTAATGGATACGACCCATCGGGAGATTTACAATCCTATCAACATCATCCCATCCGGTGGAAAAATCAGCATTAAGGATCCGTCTGGCCAAAGATTCTCTCATACTTGCGCCGAGTATTGACATGAAAAGAAGGTGTTGCTTTGTCTCTTGTGAGTGTTGGCATAAGACACAAGTTGCATCAACATACGATCTCCCGTTGCTAACCTATTATGCATCACAATCCAAGTGAAAAACTAGTATTTAGGCGCTGCATGAGTGAACCAGCGTTAACCCAGTCACATCTTGGATGTTCTTCCCTAATGAGATTCCATGCATGTGGCTTTTTATTTACATTTTATCTACTCATATATCTATATTTATTTCTCAAAATATTTAGTGTTAAAGTGACACATTCTAAGTGGTGGGACTTATCAGCGATCGTGTCGATCCTCGTGTGTTACCGAATTCTCTTCTTCATAGTACTGTTGAAGCTTAAGGAGAGAGC